ATAATAAATAAATAAATAAACCATTTGCCTTGGACGAGACCACCAGCCTAGGCTCGTGAGAGTCAACCCGCTCGGCTCGTCATTTGACGAGCCCGAGCTGACTTTTCATGAGTCGAGCAGCCGAACCGACGAACCGCTTGGCCCGTTTGCCACGGCTTCTCTCTCATTACTTGGTTTACATCCATATTTCTTGCAGACTGTTACAGAGCTGCAGATGACACGAGAAATTACCCATGCATGGATGTTGTTAAATCTAATCTACGTAATTTTTATAATTCATCATTATATTCTCTCTTACAAGTCAAATATAGTTATAAGTGAATTTAAAATTCAGCCAACCTCTAAATATTTGAGAAACTTGAGAAGAGCCATGGCTCCTGTTTACAAGCCCTAACGTAAATAGTTCACGCTCATAATTAACACTCTCTCTTTGTAGTGTGTCAAATAGGTGGGTCGAGACTCAAGACCTTACTTTTTTTGGTTTTTTTACAGAAAAAATAAGGGAATAATACATAATTCCTATGTTTAAAGTTCACTTTTCATAAATAACAAACTTATTAAAATATTTCAAAAATCAAGTGTTAAATAAATTTATTAAATATTAAAATATATAATATAATATACATTAATTATTTTTATCAATGCCACCTCACTTACCACCTCCTATCACCCCACTACACCACCTTCTCTCCACCTCTCCACCGGACGGCCATCAGCTCCGGCGACTGTTCCGGCGACTACCCCGGACGACTTTTCCGGCAGCCACTCCGGCGACTGTTTCGACAGCCACTCCGGCGATTTCAACCTACCCACCCCATCCACCCATTCCCAACTTCCAAATTTTTTTTCAGAATTTTGAGTCACAATTGGTCACAAACGGTCACAATCGCTCACAAACGGTCACAAAAAATTGCCCGGTAGTCAAATCGCGATCTTGTCATTGAACAGAAAAGGTTCGCCAACACCACCAACTCCGGTTGCAGCCTTCTTACTCTGCAGCAGCGCCTACTACGCCTCCACCACCACTACATCAATCCATTCATCCTTACACCCACAACCATCACCATCAACTTTCAAGTATGAGCTAACGTTGAGTAAGCTGGTTATATAACAAACCAGTATAAGTTATAACATCAACTTCTATTACCACCAAACATCGTTCAATTTCATCCAAAAATGAGGGAGAAATCAACATTAAAAAAAAAAAAAAAA